AGTGATTGGCCCCTCCCATATGACATAAAAGAGGAGCGAAAGGGGAGGGGGCTTTTGCAGGAAACCATTCATTCATTCAGTCGTTAAATTCATTTCAGGAGTGTGAAGATCTGTCCGTGAATCTCAGAGACTCTGTGCCAAGTCTTTCCTTGCACAGCACCTCATTTGGGAAATATTTACATGGCAGCTTTCTAACCTATATAAGGTCTGTGGATTCAAATATTCCTTTTGAAAGACTGTTTGCCGGGTCTTGGCTGAATGTGAATGTGAGGAATTCACGTTCGTTTAATAAAAGGGGTTTTGTCGGGACCAGGAATCTGCTTCGTGCTTTTTGGTGAAGCCTAAGAACACTTTCTTCCAACAGTCTGAATCACAGAAAGTCTAATGAACAATTCTAATTATCGAACTTTCCCTCGGGAGAAATTGCCATAGGAAGCATAAAGGATTTGTCTTTTTTTTTTCTTTGCAGTTCTTGTAAGTGTCTGCCAGCAATGAGGAAGGAAGGGGTGAGAAAGGGATTAAGAGCGACTATGGATGCCCGTCATCTTGCAATGGGACAAAACTTACCCAGGAAATTTTTTGATACTCTGGTTTTAGAAATGGAAACATGACGAGCTCCTTTCGCCAAAGTAAATGCACCTCTTGTCTTCCCTTAAACAAAATGATTTTTTGTTAATGATCTGGTCACCAAAATCTTGAGTTTTCATTGAGTGTGTCTTGTTACGAGCTTTGTGGTTGATCAAATGTATTATTTGCACTCCAACCCTATTTTAAGTATTTTTGTCCACGTTGGAGCAATATTTTTTTTTACAACACAGTCAATGAAAGTTAAGACTAAGGGGAAAAACAATCAAGTGGATACTTGCAGATTTCATTTTCCAGATACTTGAGTTCATTTTGACACCTCTTGCTTAATTGTTTCCCTGTTGGAAGAAGTTAGACTTTTTTGAGGACTTTTCGAAACAATAAAATAAAATAATTCAGTGACGAAAATAAAACTTTACCAGGAATATATAAATAATGGTTACAGGTCTCCGAAGTATAATCCTCAGTCACCAAGGATGAACAAAAAAAAAAATTACATTAAAATTGTGTCTGTTTAGCTTCATTTTTGGATAATTTTATCATGAATTCTGATAAAAATGAAAACTTCACAAAATTTGCTTAGAATAGAATAGAATAACAGAGTTGGAAGGGACCTTGGAGGTCTTCTAGTCCAACCCCCTGGTTAGCCAGGAAACCCTACACCACTTCAGACAAATGAATATCCAACATCCTCTTAAAAACTTCCAGTCTTGGAACATTCACAACTTCAGGAGGCAGGTTGTTCCACTGATCAATTGTTCTGTCAAGAAATTTTGCCTTAGTTCTAAGTTGCTTGATTAATTTCCACCCATTGTTTTTTGTCCTACCCTCAGGTGCCTTGGAAAATATTTTGACTCCCGCTTCTTTGGGGCAGCCCCTGAGATATTGGAAATCTGCTATCATGTTTCCCCTGGTCCTTCTCTTCACTAGACTAGCCATGCCCAGTTCCTGCAATCGTTTTTCATGTGTTTTAGCTGCCAGTCCCCTAATCCTCTTTGTTGCTCTTCTCTGCACTCTTTCTAGAGTCTCCACATCTTTTCTACATCGATCAAAACTGAATGCAGTATTCCAAG